GCACTTAAACTTTGTAATTTTAAGGTTATGTTGTGTGGGAATTAGGTTTAATTTGCTAATTTTAATTAATTTCGATACTTCTTTTGTTTTTTAGGAACACATGTATGTTTTATGAATTTTTAGACATTTAGGTACTAAAAAATGAGGATTTTGAGCATGCACGTTGAAGAGTAAAGAATCATGCAAGAATAAATGGTTTGAGAATCGGAGCTCAAACGAAGAAGCTATGAATATTTGAAGATTGTTCACAGCGGAGGATTTTTGTGCCACGGCGTGCATGAACATGCAGCATGAAAATGGACGTAACTTGAGCTACACAACTCCAATTAACCTGATTCTGGTGGCGTTTGAAATATAAGAGATAGAAATATAACTTTCATGTTTTGGTCGTATCTAGTTCAACATGGAAGATGGTTAAAAATGGATCTGAAAGTTACATCAATGCATGGAAGACAAGCAGACGCGCATTCTAGAACATGCCTTAGTATTACTATAATAACTTGAGCTAAAGACCTTATATTGTGATTATTCTTAGACCATTGGAAATCTAATTCGAATATCTACAATTAATGTGCCCATGTCTTCGTCATATTCAAAAAATTTCATGCTAAAAAGTGGAAGTCTTTCTGCACACAATTCCAGTAGCAACTGTTAACAAGAAATAGACAAAAAATGGTAACTTCGCGAAGCTACCATTAATTCCTCAGTACAAACTGGGAGCTTTTACACATATTTTTGTAAAGCTTTGGAAATCTAGTTTATGTAGAATTTTACGGTTCATTATTCCGAGTTTTCTAGAGGAAGATATTCTAGTTTTAGTACCAAAGGGTTGGCATAGGAATCCTAATTCTACAAGGACTTTACTTAAGATTAATCCGAATTTTATTCTCCTATTTCATATAGGATTGTTCCCATTACTTTCCCACAACCCTAGCACTATAAAAGGATGTCTTTAGGTATTTTTTGGAGAGACTTCAACTTTGAGAGAAGCAAGTAGAGAAGATCATACTTATGGTTTTCATCTTTTCTCTTGTACTTTATGTTTTTGAAGGTTTTGAGGTTTGATTTCTCTATGTTTATGTGTAACTAATTTCCTTTTTAAGGATCCGATGTAACCTAGCATGAAGGTTTTATGATTTGTTTAATTTTATTGTTCTATTGATTCAATATATTTCTTGTTTCATTTATTACACTTATTTCGATCTTGATGTTTTGTATATCATATGCTAACTCTGAAATACAAAACAATTGATGGTTTGAGACAAGGTAAGGTAAACATCATATGCAAACCTTGAATAACTCTTTTGAATGATTGGATTGTGTTGAGGCAAACATCAGGCTAGATACAATTTGGTTCATATTTTGAGTACTTCTTGTTCTTAATGGATTCTTGATTGTTAGGTTTTACTAAACATCCTAGTGAGTTTAATGGTTAAGAATATTTGGTTAAACCCAAACATCAAACGATAATATCATAATGCTGGAACATTGAAGCCTAGGATTTGGATTGAGACAACAATAAATAATTAGTAGAGAATCAGATTGTTATGGTGAAATTGGATACCTAGGTTTTTCTTGCATTGGTTTTCAATTAAGTTTTAATTGTGTTATTTAATTCAATTGGTTAAGAATTTATTTTGCTTTCTTAGTAATTAGTTCCATTTCTTTTGTTTACAATTTTGTTTATTTTATTTGTTTAATTAAGGCATTGTATATTAGGATTAATTGAGTGCTTACAAATATCTATGGGATCGACCTTTGCTTTTGCACACTATACTGTACTATCGATTCGTGCACTTGCGAGGAATTAAAATTGTTCATCAGGTTCCCAGAAATCACACACCCATCCTACTTGGTTCTCCCCAGAGTCAACCAAGTATCTCTGGTTGATGCATGTCTTCGTCCCGACATTTTAGTCGGTGTAGAAATTCGCATTAGCACTAGATCTTCAATACATGACATCACTACTTTAAAACCTGGCCTAGCTCGGCTTGGCTGGTTTAACCGGTCGGGAGCTTCACCTGATCGGGTTAACAATTTCTCTATTCACCCAAAACCCTAGAATTTGGGATGATGATCGGCGAACAAGTGAAAGCTAGGATGTTGGGGCTTTTGAAGAGAAAGTGTTGGTGAGTGCAATGGTGGCAACGAAGTTGATTTCCGGTGAGTGCAAAAAAAAAAAAAAAAAAAAAAAAAAAAAGGCAACGGCAATAGCCAACTTTTGTCGGCGATTGGCAAGGTTAACAGTGACGGGGTGAGGTGGGTTTGGTCGGGAGGAAGAGGGGAGTATTTCCAGGGTGATGGGGGAGGGTTGTCGATGTCGGCCTCAGTGAGATCTGGCCTAGAATGTCGATGCCGACGTCGATAAGACCTGGCCTAGAATGTCGACGCCAGTATCGTTGTTAATTTCAGCCAAATCTTGGTTAGATTTTCTAGGGAATTGGCTCAAGGGATGATTGGGATTGCATTTGGGGTGTCGTCACTGCCAACCAGTTGCCAGTCGATTTGCATTTGAGATGTGTTTTCTAAATTTCAAACTTGTAGGGACTTAAATTAATTTTTAGGGGTGTATTTGCTGAATTTAAAAGTCTTGTCACCCGGTTTAACCAGCCGGTCAAACCGGTTAAACCAGTTAACTCAAAACCTAGCAACTTTGTCGGGTTTTACCCCAGATTGGTTATTAAAATGTTGCATGACATGTCATATCACTGCCATTAATGAATTTTTTAATCAATCACTTTTCTTTGAAAACACCATTACTCTCTTTTTGACTTGTTACCCTTGGTTTATTTCTTGGAAAACATCACTCTTTTTTTTTACCTTATTACCCTTAGTTTATGACAGTAAACCCGGAAATATACAAAGGTTTTTTTGTCATTCAGATACGATGATGTCATTGGTCCAACCCACCAATCGGATTGGTTGGACTAATCAACCCGAGGCCCGAGCCTTTAACCGAGTCAAGGCCCAGGCTGGGGCGCTTCCAAGTTTTGACAAATTAATATTTTCATCCCAAAATAAAGATTCTATCAGTAAAAATATTATTGTTTAAGGGAAAAAAAAAAGGATATTTCGAATAAATATCTAACCATATTTCATATTTAGAAAACAAAAAAAGTAACAAAATTGCAAGTAGCCAAACTAATAATTGTTTGGGCAAACAATCACTCTTTTAGTAAAAATAGACAATCAATTATAACTTTCAGTCGCTGGTCCAAAATTGTCAATTATTTATTAAAGATAATTTTTCTAGCCCTTACACTATTATATTTAACTAACAAAAACATCATTCAACTTTAATACCAAATCTCTTAATAATAAACCAAAAAGAGTGATAACATATTTGTAAAGTCTATGTCCCAAAATCATTTTATAAACTTTATAGTTAACTCCAGATTTTGACTTAGATACATTGTTTTAAAACTCGGATCGAACAGGTTGGTCCAACCGGTTCAACCAAGACCTGGTCGTGTGTCCGATCCGGGTTAATATAAAACTCGGTTATGCTAAAAAAGCCGCTTTAACTCGCCATTAAACCTAATGAACAGTGTAACTTGATAAATCGGTTTACTATTTCACAAGTAAAAAAAAGCCCTAAATCTATTCATTTTTCAGTTTCTCTACACAACCACTCTTTGAAATCACCCCTCAATCTCAATCAACTCCACTCTCCAAAATCGATGATGCCTCCCTCCCTCGCTGGAAATCGATAATGACGCCTCCCTCCTTCCTCGACGACGACGACAACGGCTAGCTCCCTCACTGGAAATCGACGACGACGACAATTTGAAGGTACATCTGGTTTATTTGATTCTCTTTTTCTGGATTTGGAAGTATTGTTTTGATTATTTGATTGGAAGTTTTGTTTTGATTATAACGTTTGGTTTATTTGATTGGAATTTAATTTTTTTCTTTTTTGGCAGAATCCTCTAGATTTAGAAGTTTTTTTTTTTTTATTATTTGATTGGAAGTTGCAGAATTATTTTACTCGAATCTGGATGATAATTTGAAGGTACTCAGATTATTTGTGTTTTCTCCCTCCGGTTGAATAACCCAGATTTGTCCAAATATGAGAATAAAGAGATATAATGCTTAAATTAAAAGTCAAGGTGCCTTTTGGAATAACATTCTGTTTTCGCATTTCAAGCATATTGTAAACTACAAAAGTTTTTATCAATTATAAATTTTTGGTGGAGCTATAACGTATAATATTATATATTGATTTGAAAGTTGAAACATGGAGACGTGAAAAAACACTTACACCAAATGTTTTGTTATTAATTATTATGTGACTATCTTTCTAATATCTTGTCATTTAATTTGTAATAGATGAACACAACATCATGTTAAGATTGTTGTTAAATCATGTTTGGATTGTTATTAAATTTGAATCATGTCGATGCAATAATTAAGTTGTCACTGAAAATTTGAATGAAAAATCTGGATTTTTTTTTGGAAGTGCTGAAATCAGCATGATAACATCATCGGTCCAACCGATTTGACCGGTCGATCTGTGATCCGGTCAACAAAACAATTTCCCTCCAATCCAGGTTTTAAAACAATGCTTAGGCATGGTCAACAGAACAATTGCCCTCCAGCCCAGGTTTTAAAACAATGCTTAGGCACTAACAGACGCACAAAAGAAAATGGTAACAGTGCAAGCTGTTGCATCATATATTACAATTGCACCTGTCAGTATTCTTATTTTCTTCCAGTATGTCGTTATAATTTACCAAACAGCTAAATCCAAGAAAGCAGGATGAAAAAGGTATTCAAGTTCAACATTTGAAGCAATTGCTGGATGCAGAGAAAAAAGGTGCCTAAAACAAGATACAGAGGTGCCTGCAAATATTTTACGGCTTGATATGATGACCCCCTATGCTACTAAACACGTACATTATTTTGCGTTAAACAGTGTAGGGGTCGTACTGTCAGGTCTCGTTTCCGTCAAAGATACACAGATACAATGCAACATTGCAAGTAATCATGGATTTGGGGGGGATGATGAATCCTAAGGTGGGGCGTCAGTGAAAGGATTTCATATTAAGTCTACATGCACATCTAACTAAATTTCTATTAATTTACACAATAGCACAGATCATGAAGACCCGATGAGTTTCATGATTTTAAGAAAAACTCCATGCCGAGGTTGGATAAGTACTGGTTGATGGCTTTGCCTGAAAAACCCAATACACAACAGCCTCTTTAAGGACCCTGTCACCCGTGAGTTTTGAGGGTAGCCTACTGCCGAGGTACTGGAGGCGTTGAAGGCTGGCTCTGCCCATAAAATCCAATGCCTGGCGGCCGATAATATCCTCCTCCAGCTGGTTGCTGCTGCTGCTGTTGCTGTTGTTGCTGCTGCGAATGCTGGGGCTGTGGCTGTGGCTGAGGCTGGAGTGACTGAGAACCAGGTCGTCCCAAACCCATTGCAATATGTGGAGGCAGCAGAGGCGGTGGTGGTAGTGTATTTGCTCCATAACCATATGGCATGACACCAACCATCATACCAGCAGACTGAACATATTGACTAACTGGTGGATTTACGGGTGATAGAGGGGGTGGAGGAGGTGGTGGCGGAGCTGGAGCAAATGGGGATTGCATCTGGTTTGATTGGGCCATCGGTTGCATACTTGAGGACAGTACAACTGGCATATTGGTCATTGGTTGCTGTTGTAAAGAGCTAAAATAGGTTGAGCTGCCCACATCAGAATTGCTGACATCAGAAATGGCCATTGGTTTCTCAAGTTTGGGCCGTTTTTCTGGTGGGAATATGGATAAACCTGCAGTGAATCCACCAGAGTTTAAGCTACCATTCAATGAGGCAGCTTCTTCTGCAACAAGAGATGAAAGAACTGAGGTAAGCATCTGGGCAGAGGATGTAGAGGCAGCAAGCTTAGCAGCAACAGCAGCTGCCGCTGCTTTCTTGTTATCTTCTTCAGTAGCTTTCAATGGTGCAAATGAAAGGACAGGTTGGTTGAGAGAGTGAGGTGGAGCGCTGGTTGGCTGAATAGAGGGAATAATGGACTCTACCACCTTTGCAGACTCTGTTGCTGGAATATTATTGCCAGATGGAAGACCAGGAACTGGAGGAGATGTTAGCCTTTTCCTCATATCACTTGCTCGCTCAATCTGACCTCGAGCAACCTGTGCATTATAACCAACAATTATACTTCATCTCAGCAAAGCAGCCACTAAATCTTAAAGTTATTTACTCCAATCATTAATAAATACAACGAAATAGAAAAATCTTCAACATTAATAAGAAAAAAACAACAATAGAAGTATATTGGCATACTTAAAACAACCGAAAAATTCATGAGGCATAAAAAGCCAACATTTTAAAATCCCTACCTTGGGAAATGGAAGTCAGGATCTAAAACATGAAAGAATATTCAACACTTCTAAATCCCAAAAAGCCAAAGGCCGCTATTGTGCGTAGGCATCTAACATACAGGTATATATATGTAGGCAACATTTGAGCACCGAAATTTCTGTTTTCCTTCATTTTTCCTCTGTTTAGTGAGTCATCATGCAAAATTTTGTAAGCCATGGTGTCCAATACCACTCAAAGCAAAATTCTCTTTGACTCAGAAAAACTTCCAACATAAAATGCCCCAGTTTATTTTGCTCTCTTTTTCCAAGATATATTAAAGATTACAGATTAGCAACCAGAGGCACATGTCTGACTCTAACAAGCAGTTAGTTGTCTCTTCATAAAAAAAAAAAAAAAAAAAATACACATGCTCTGTCCCTACATCACCAGCAGTCCAAATGAGACAATTTCAATCTGCAAATCCAGCCTAAACCATCTAAACCCAAGTATATAAACCAGGTAAAGATGAGAGAAAATTTATAGCCACCATTTTGCAGGAGACTTCCAATAAGGACATATCACTATAGAATGCAAAGGGGAACCAAGTACACAATATAAAAGAGACAACAAACTAAACAACAGATAAACTGAAAATGTGAAGAATCAATATTTAGAAAAGAAAATAGTACAGTTTAGGTCATTTGTTCATGCAAAGAATGTAGTAGTGGATATTACAGAGCTCAAGAAATGGGCTATCTTTACTCAATTTCCACCAATTCCAAAACACCCAGGCACAGCAAAGCAATCTAGCCAATCTAGTGGAGTACTATCACCAATCTTCCATGCCAATTAGAGATACAATAAATACCACGGGTTCCAAGGTGAAAGGCTACGTAGTGTTATTCACCAACTCTTTTTCCCCCTCGCACATACAAACCAATGCAACCACTGTGCACATTGATGAGCATTTCAATGATCATAATCCTCCTTAGTGCAACAGTCCAAGCAAAACAAGATACTTCCCTATTAAAGAGATTTAATTTATGTACTGATTCTCAAAAAAGATATTTAAGATAAAGAAACTTTATTAGTTTTACACTCCATGACATGCTTAAATATTTCTACATTAATCTAAAAATATACAAAGAAATTAATGGTTGACGTGAAATGAATAGCTTACTTTTTTTTTTCCTAAGAAACAAATATTCCCTATAAAAAGTATACAAAGTATATAAGAGTGGACAAGATGTCCATACAAATGGACGAGCTGTCCCTAAACCCTAGGGTTCATGGAACAAAACAAAATGAAAACACTTCTCCTGATCCATAAACTTCAACACTAAATAACACTAATCAAATTTGCACAAAAATCTTTCCTTGCTAGGTGATTGAAGCTTCCCAATTTTGATGAATTAAAAAAAAAAAAAAAAAAAAAAAAAATCTTTGAATTCTGAAGTGACAGATGCCCAAAGAAAAGCCCAATCCCGCATGGCCCCAAAATTCTGAAATGAACAGTTAACTGAATTAGCTATATTGATATTTCTAATATTAGCTATTTAATAAACAAGTTGTATTTGTGCTTACAGTTCAAGCGATTTTAAATAAAAAGGTTGTCAGCTTACAAATTTGAATGCTTGCATCCCAATTCTAAAAAATTGCAAACCCAAATTTATAGACCTTAGTTGCCAAAAGGCATATACACAGCCTCGGAGGAACCACAATTGTTAAATAACTGACTTTCCCAAAAGTATAAAAACAACAATAATACAAATCAACAACAAACAGTTACCAATATCTCCTTTGTTTAAGTCTCAACATTGCTCCACAGGTTTAGACCTCTCATGCGGACTGCTAAGACAGGTGTTTAGCTCTACAATGCAACCCCTGGCTGTAGGCAAATTGGTCCATTGTTTTGTATTATAATTATCTAGCTTTTATGAAATAAAACACAGACCTCTTTAGATTTGATTCCACATTAAACAATTGAAAAAAAAAAAAAAAATCCTCTCTAGCCATAAATTCTAAAGCAAACTAAGAGAACCATCCTACAACAATGCAACTAAAACCTCTTCACTTTCAAGCAACTTGACAATAAATCCATTAGTGTTATATGAATGGTCTAATGACACTTTGCAACAAATTAAATAGACTAACAGGAAATCAATCAGAGAATAGTGGTCCACAAGCTTTACATCCCTTACACATATACAACAAGTAGCCACAAAAAACTTTGTACCTAAAATTTTCATACGAGAAAGAGATGTTTTCCAAAAAAAACCATTTAACTCCATCTCACACGCTAATTTTGGCATCCATTTTACAGTTATGTCCACCACATTTCTAAACTATTGAAAGAATAACCCAATATAACTCAACTCAGTAAGTGAAAATACTTAAAATCTTTAAATGGCATACTTTTTCATCCCACCGTACTATAATGCTTAAATATGAAAAACAATAGCTCACACGAGAACAACACAAACTATAGATTGAGAGACATGAAACCACTTTTTAACATTCACTAGTGTGTGTGAGACAGGAGAGAGTATAATGCAATCAAGTAGATGATCTATAGCCAGCTGTAATTTGACCCCCAGCAAAGACACTGCTTAATCAACAAGAAACGTTGAGTCATCAACATAATGAAGACTCAATAACTTTTGAATGCTTATATATAAGCCAATAGTAACTAGTACGGACCATTAAACACCCTTTTTTGTCAAAAACAATTCCTTTGTTTCTCTTTTAAAAATCAAGAAAATAAAATATACTGAAAACATGTCCAGCATTACTTTTGCAAATGAAGGTCCATTCTCCAAAATTTACAAAGACAAGTAAAATGTCTTTAGACAGTTATTTGTGTTCATTTTTTTTTTCTTTTAAAAGATTGAATTCCAAATAGAAAGAAAACATGAATAACTCAGTACCCAACATCTTCCACCCAAAAGAAAAACGCCTTGACCTACCTCTGTGTCCCCATTATTATAGAATGCAACTACACAATCTTAAAAGAGCAAACCTCTGAACTACAACAGGCCCACCTTTCCAAACAATTCTATTAAAATGAAGAAAAACAGAGAGAGGGAGTCACTACCCATCAAAATAATTCAAGAAAAGAGATCTATCTTTGCCAATGCTCCTTTAGCAAAAATCTACCAATCAAACAACTGACCAGAATTGAGAGGATACATGAGACCATGGCAAAGAAGATTTCCTCACAGGCTACTAAACAAGAGACCATTTAGAATGTTAAGGCTAATACAGTGAGCAATTAAGTTAAAAAAATATATATAAAAAAAGGAAAAATTTGGGAGCTGAAATTGAATAAGATTCTTGAAACTACATATGAAAAAATTCCAGATATTTTACCAACACATCATTATTATTTTATCATTGTGATAGATCCCACATTGTTATAATTCTTTAAGAAGACTGGAAAAGGAAATGACAATAGCATGACATTTGATTAATCAAATTTATTGCAAACAGTTTCCAAGATATTTATACCGATTATGCAACCAAACACATTTTAAATTTCTAAACACCAAATGCAATTTCTTGTTTCCATTTCCAAATTCATCTTTAAAAAACAAATTTGGAAAACAATATCAAAAAACCCTAAATTTAGTGGGCCAGGGCTTCAACAGTGATGGGCTGCTTCAGCATAAAGCCACTCAAGAAGACACTACTGACCAATTGCAGCTGAATCCTCAACAGGAGCCAACTTTGTCATATTTTTCTGATCAAAATATCATGCAAAAAGATCCTTTACATTGCAAAAATAGCACAATATGTCAGTCCTATTCAATAAAGTGGTACTACACTTTTTAGCATCAAGCATAAACAACAACTTCATTCTTGCAACTAATGACGTAATTCCATTCACTAAAAATGATTTTGCCTTCAATACACCAATACAGAACTTTTAGATATAACAAAATAATTTATCGTAGCATGCTCAAACCGCAACAGACATGTATGTGTGCCTTTTACAAGGCTTTGAGCATCTGTAATAATACCTATTAAGAATCACCCACTAATCCTTTCAGTCAGACCCTCATGTCCAAATTTGATACTTCTACATAACGTGAAACCTCTATAGCAAGTTACATCAAAATGCCGATCCAAGAGTGAAGAGACTGTTCTACTCAAAGTCCATATATTTATATAATACTCATTTCTCCCAGAGATAATAGAACACAACATTTTCCCAAAAAGGCATGAGCAACTGGCTACACTTATTGAAGAATTATTTTAAAGATAAGATATAATAGCATATTTTCTCACTGTTAAGAACGCAATAACTTAAATCTGCAATAAAAACCCAGCACCAAATTGCTAAACCTAGTTGTATGGCATTCTGCAGACCAGTACAATGGCAATCTTATGTCTCCATCATGTTTTGATGACATCAAAAGTACTTCAAATTAAGTACTTCTTTGCAGAATCAACTTCTTGAGCAATCACTTTTAAGTAGATTCAGAGAAATCACTTTTAAAAGGCACATAGAGAGATATGTTTCTTACTTGCAACCGAGCACGAATGAACTCCAGCTTTAATTCCTGAAAAAAATTAAATCAGAGAGTCAATACTGCTAAAGAATTTAGCATTATGATTGCATACTCGAGAACATAGATTTGCAACAAAACAGTACTTGGTCCTGAAGTGCCTCTTTAAGCTGGGAAACCAAGGCAGCTCTTGATGTTTCAGCACTTTCAAGTTGTCCAACGCATTGTTGAAGGACATTTTCCTGTTCTTGTAGCTGATCAACCACTGCAGACCCATGCTGATTTCCTGATTTAAAAAAAAAAAAAAAAAAAGTATATGCTTTATAATTTTGATAAACTGTGATTTATGAGTGAGAGAAATGACTGTCATTCTGCCAAGGTTTATAATGGAAAAGAAGTGAGAAAGAAGCAGGATGATGCAATTTCAAAAGGGAGGTCTAAGCCTTAAATATGTTCAGGTGTTGCGGCTATAGCTTAAATATCATTTACAAATTGTACTTACTATTGGCTTTGTCATCTAGGTAAGCAGCTGGCAGATCCCCAACGAGGTGACAAAATTGAGAAAGAAGCAGGATGATGGCATTTCAAAAGATCATTTAACGTCAGTGCCAAGTACTAACATCACAATTGAAAAAGCATTTGCTCCAACAGCTTTGAGTGCTCCGGNCCAAAGGGAACATGTACAACCATTTAGAGCCCTCTTTTTATTTTTCCTTTACGAATCTAAAACAATATCATTGCTTGAAAATATTACAAGAGTGTGAAAAAGATGTCCACAAAAGTTAAGATCCATCGAATAAATCACAAAAGATTGATACAGTATAAGCTGATCAACTCAAACAAAAGCTAGACAACTCAAAAATCAATGCCAATGGCACAAAAGTAACCTAAAACTCATCCCCAATCTTAAGTGAACAAAGAAAAAGGACGTATCTTGAAAAATTTTAGTGACTGAAACCCAAAGAGAAGCAAACAGACAAACTTTGCCACAAACTAAGAATATCTTCCTCCCATCTATCTTCGAAAATTCTTATTGTTTCTTTCTTACCAAATCACACAGAAGTAGCTAAAATAGCACAACACAAGATTTTGGCCTCATCCCCTCTACCAAAACCAAAATTGTGTTCTGAAAGAAAGTCGCCACAAGAGGCTAGAATAACCCACTTCATCTTTGCTACTTGGAGAAGTTTGTACCATAATCTTAAAGAGACTAGAAATGTAAGAAGAGATGATTGTAGTTTCCATGTTACTTTTGAACAAGACAAAAAAAGAAGGGGAGAGATACCAATTTGGAAACCTTCTTAGAATAACATCACCAATATTGATTTTACAAGGCACTTTGACTTCCTAGATCATGCAGGCTCTTTGAAAAAAGACTAATAGAGCGATCATCAATGAACCAACTGAAAAAGGATTTGCATGAAATGGCCCCGAATAACGGAGCTTCCAAACTCTCTATCCACCACAGCTAAAAGGCCTGAGGGTTCATGGTTATCTCTATTGTTCAAATTTCTCAAAAAGTTGAAGTTCCAAAACCAACCCAAGGAAGGAGAAAAGGAGACTACCATATCTTCAATGATATTGTCCACTTCTCCAAATCCCTCGACAAAAGGAATCATTAGACAATTTGTCAATTCTATTTGATACCTAGTACAAAATTTTGAAGACAGGAAATGAAAGGGTAAAATAGATTATACTGATTCATAGAAAAAAAAAAATTAAAAAACTATGAAATTGTAGTAATAAAAAGTGTTATAAAAGGTGAAAATGCAGTCACTAAAAAAGGACAAGCTTGAGAAAACTGAAAAAAAAAGAAAAAGAAAAGGGCTATACACCGATAGAGAAGAGGACAGCCATTCTTCATGTAATAGAGTTTTGTTTTTAGCTTCCCTTTGAAAAACAATGACAAAAAGTATATTATATTCATTGATTTAGTCTTAAGTCTACTTCTTTGGGATATGAAAACCTTTTCCCGTCCAACGATAGGGGTGGGGGTTCATGCTAAGTAGTCAAGTTTGGCTTCTGAAAAAGTGAGAATATAATTGGGTTTAGGTCCAATAAAACAAGATACATTTAACTGATAGAGGTCAAACAAGAGCACAAACCACTCTTAATCAATCAAGTCAACCCTTTAATAAGTCCGTCATGTCAAATAAATGACACAACAAGTCTAATGTAACTCAATTTAACAAATAGATATGTCAATCAAATAACACAAACTCGTTTAACCTCTCCAACCAACTTAACCGATTTAAACAAATTTAACCCAATTGATTATATTTGAAGAAATTAATATATTTAAACAAATTAAACCCATTTTAACAAAAATCAATAGTAAAATTAAGAGACTGAGCATAAAGAAAATTTCTACAATAATTATAAATGTATCTAATAAATAATCAACCACCCATGAGCAAGTATAATAGCATATAAACATGTAATAGTTATATGGTTAAAAAACTAAGTAGATTGATAGATATAGCAGTTGAAGCTAGAACGGTTAATGGCATTATGGTGAGAAAGGATAAAATAAAGGTAAACTATATCAAATTCTTTGATGACACCTTATTATATTCATCAAATAGAAATAAAAAATAACTAAGCTGCTATTGAGTATTTTAGCATTTCTTTTGGTGTCAAAGTGAACTTGTCAAAAAGCAGCAGAATGGGGATCAACAGCTCCAGGGATACGAGCAACATCCAGCACCTTAAGAAAGTGCTTTTATCAGTCAAAATCGCAAATCCCTTCGCAACAAACCACTGTCACCTACCAATTGTGTTGTATGAAGCAAAATAAATAAATAAAATTATTTCAGGAAAGATAAACCCAAAACTTTGGCTGTCCCATAAAAGTTAAAGTTATTCCTTCTAGGATCTTCAGAAGTTATTTGATATAACTTCATCATAATTTTTTGCATATTCTCAAATCTAGGTTTTACCGTTCTCCCATTAGATCCAAGGTTTTCACCAGATGTCCTCTAAAGATCTCTCGAAACCACATGCACATTTTAACAAAAACACATAAAATAGCCAGAAAGTTCCAATTTTCCTTATGCATTCTAAATTATCTCCCTGGTTTAAGGGAAAAGGCGATCATTACATGCATCCAAATTATCCTAAAATAACTATTTACTCAACCTAGCATAGTGCCTAGAGAAACAGAAGTCACAAGTTAGATCCTTACTTTAGAAAGCTAACCAACCATGAGAGCATAAATACCAAAGCTCTGAGATAGCCTTCTCTCACTATTTATACTGATGACTTACTATGTCAATATTACTACTGAAAATAAATTGTCACGTCTTTGTAAAATCTCTCCAACTTAATCAAAAAAAGTTCTAAATTATTTCTTCTCCAATAACTGCAATAATTATCAATATAACCATGCAGCAATTGGCAGGTACAAAGTTTTAAAGTACCACATGCATCCGACACAACGTTGTACCTTTCTCACCCCTATATTTGCATCATCATATGTTGATCAACTGTCAATTAGTGCTATCTCAGCACAGATTATGGGTCTTATTTTGGGTTATTCCATACACACCCTTGTAACATTGGATACTGACAAGTTACCCCGATTAATTTCAGAAACCAAACTCAAGACCCCCTCCCATGCATTTTGGACATGGCATCATAAAATCTGCCAGTAAATCATAAAAGTAGAGACCTAACACGTGGGAAGCATGAAAACCCATAACAAAACTCATACCTGGAGCTGGAGAGTTTTCAAAATCTTCCCCAAGTTTTCCCACATGGTGTGCAGCAGCATTACACTTGTTTAAAGCAGCTTCTTCATTAAGGCTTTCATCGAGTACAGACTGAAATGAAGTAATTATTTTTTCTGGCAGAGCTCCAACAGCCAATTTCTGAAGTTAAGATGACCATAAAAAAATACATTTAACAAATCAGATACATAAAAATCAACAGATAGAAAATAAAATAAAAAAGAGCAAATGAAATTGAAACAAACGGAACAAAATACTGCCACATAATTGATAAATGCTTACAATTCTTAATGAATTAACATCCCTCTTCACTATCTTGATTGGATTTGAGCTCTTTCCATTGCTCACAGAAATAGGACGAGGATTCTTACCAAGCAATTCATCTTTAAGATTCTGCCCTCGAGAACCAAAAACTTTCCTTTCTTCCCATATGTCAACCTATCAAAATGAATAGAGAAGATGCTAGTTCATAAAGTAAGAAGATGGGACGACTAATATTTAGAGCTACACATATATAGATAGATGATGAATAATGAATTATTCCATTCTAAGTTATAAATATTCACCAAATCTTCTTGTTGGAGCCACCCACTAGAGCCAAGAGAATTACACGATGCAATTGGATAAGTTAATTTAAAGAAAGAGTAGAACTTAAAGTGTTTACGGTAAAATGACCGATCCATGGTTTTGTTTACCCAAGCTCAACACCAAATGACAGTTAACACTACAAGCATGGTTACACAAGTTTGGGTCACAATAATTTTCCTCTGATCATGTAAGTAAATTCTCTAATAGCAATTATTCTTTCATCACATTAAGGAGAAAATAAATATATATACAAATTCAAGATATGGTAATTTAATTATTTAATAGTATTTATGAGTCATTCATTTTTTCTAATCCAAGGTTGTCAAGAGAGAGGTTTAAAGTAATTACTTGTATCACCAACTCAGCGTCTCTCAACAACATTAGATTTGAGAAGATAGAGGCCCAAAAAAGTTTCAAAAAAATTAAGATACATATATACACACCCCCCATAAAGATTTTGCTTTGTAATCACATTATCTTTCTACTCTTAGTGCCAAGAACGAATATCGACAACATAACAAAGTATAGCTGCACTTGTTAAAATTAGTTTAAAGTCATCAAACAATATATAGAGTTAAGCAATATCATCATTAACATCCAAAAGTATTTGCATTTATGTGTATGCATTTGTATTATCCTACACATTCAAATTTTGGATTGTAACCATATCATCATTCTACTCCTAATGCCATGAAAGAATATCCACTATCACAACAAGATATAGCTACAGTCACTAGCATTAGTTTAAAGTGGTTAAACATGGCAACATCATCATTATCAATCAAAGGAAGACTGACAAATTAAATTAAAATTGATAAAACAAACCTTAGCAATACACTAATGGTGAAGTTTAGGAGAACAACGTGTACCAAACATAATTCCAACGAGGATCTTTCCAGAATATAATCCTTTCACCATTAAGAAGATCTGGATTGATATAAAGGATGAGGTCATAACATTCCTGGTATTTGGTAATAGCCTTTATGAGACTAAGGAAGTCACCCTAGACCATGAAGAATCCCAAATGATTTTACGCAATCCATATATGCATTTAACTATACATGAAAACAATGATTTGAAAGGGAGTAAAATCCTAAACCATTTTCTCAATTTATCATAAAAAATAAAAATACATTTCACCAATCAACCAAAAAAGTTTTTTGAACTATTAACCAACCAAGCAGAGAAATATTTAAATAAGAAAAGCTTCCTGAAGATAGTTTTCTCTCTCTCATCAGAGTTAAAAAAAAAAAAAAAAAAAACATATTGGAAGCAGAAAAGACCACACTCTTTCATAGTCGCTGAATTCATAGAACATACTCCAAAACTTCTAAGTTGCATAATCTCTAGCCTCTTGTCATTAAGAATTCTAGTGAACTTAAGATCAACCCCAATTAAAAGAAGAGGACAACACAATGTTAATAATAGGAAGGTTGTTCCCAATTTTAGACCCATATATCCTTTAAAAAAAGCTGGAAAAAGCTGCCTCACCAATCAAACTTCCGAAAAATCTAATTCTCTCTCTTCCACCAACAATATATTTCCCATGCCATAGAAATGACTACCATCCTAAGTGATAAAGTTCACTAAAATAAACAAGGTTTGGATTCCACTAAACGATCTTAAAGAAGTTATCAAGCTACAATTCGTCCTCCAGATGGAAAAATATGGTGTAATCAGAAACCAACAAGATGAGAGATTGCAACTGTACGATTATGAATTGCAGCCCTGCACTAAATTATTCTCTTTATCCATATCCACCAGCCAACTACGAACGTCCACAACCAAAGTTAAAAGGAAAGAAGAAAGCAGCCCCCTTTGTCGTAACCCCTTAGAAGCTTCAAATTTCCCTCTCGGCTTTCCATGTAAGAAAATATATATGTTGACATTATAAAAACCTATGATCCGCTTCTCCAACTTAGGCCAAATCCTAACTCCCATGAGAAAACCCAATTACCATCAATCCACATAATCATATGCTTTCTCAAAGTCAATCCTGAATACACATTCCTCCTCACTTCATGTACTCCTGCAACATCTCAATAGCAACTGGATTAAAAATATAGTTACCCTCCAGTAAGCATCATTGGGTTGCTAAGATTGAATCCCCCACAACCTCTTTCATTGTTGCAGCCAAGACTTTAGCTAAAACCTTTCAATGGTTAATGGCAAGTCTTAAAGTCTATAATCATTGATCTCAAAAAATAAGACATAAAGCATCAAACATATGAAAGCAGCATAATTTTTCAGAGTTCACAATAACATTATGAAAGAATTCACAACACTCGATCAGATCCTTCTTAATTACCCAACAATATTGATGAACAGCCAGGGTAAAGCCAGCTAGTCCCAATGATTTATCTTTCCAAATAAGATCTATTAATAAATCTAAGATAGAATCAGACACAAGAAAAGATCTGGATGACCAAAAGGAATATCATTCATCTATCAAATAACCTTTCTCCGTACAAATTAACAGACAGATATTTGCTAATTCCAAATATATCATCTATAATCCAATCTGGCATGTAAACAACTAATAGAGAAATGCCCGCATTTATGAGAATTAAAATAAAAAACCCTACCAGTCTCGTCACTGCTTTTTTTCCATATTCATCACCATTATCATAAACATGCTTGAGAGCAACAGGAAGAACTTTCCAAAATTCATTCACAAACTCGCTGCCCTTTCTCCTACTATTTTGCAGAATATCATTAGCTAAATATAGGAAAGAAACACGCTGCTCTTTCTGGGAAGAGTTGAACAGTTTATCCCACGTTTCAACAATCTGTTTTGCTTTCTTCCGGTGAGTAATACACCATCGAGACAATGCTGAGCATTGTTAAAGAAATACATAACAACCAAATCAAATCAAATTCATGGGTAAAGAAAAACTCAAATGTGAAAACAGAAACCACATAAAACTGGAAGCATGAGGATGAAAATTACTATTTTGTCAACTGTTCCTTTGAAAATTAACTTAATGCAAAATTACCAAAAAAGAAATTTGCTATAAACTTGTTCATTCTACTCATAAATTATTTGATCAATACTCAAGATGAACTGTTATGATCATGATGAAGATAAATATTGTGCAACAATGTGAAGAAAGTAGAGCTTCATTTCCACCAAAAGATCAGTTCTAGAGGCATATGAATTCATCAATAATTATCTTAGCTAAAGGTTTCAAACAATTAGTCATCAGGTGCAAGGAGTCTTAATGCCTATGTTAAATACTGAATTCAGATAGAAGTAAGGCCAATTAAATAGGGAAAAAAAAGGAGCTACAACATGAACGAGGACATATAATTGAAATATTAGACAAGTGACGACCAAAGAAATGTATATCTATCAAGAGTCATGATCCAATGTTATAAGCAAATTGAGATTTGCATACTACTCTCAACTTTCAAAACTTTTACAATGCTATTTTGCTATAGTTACATGTGCCACAAAGAAAATCACAATATAACTCAATTTATTACACATCAAATACTTTTTATTAGATGGCATTAAAAGGTCAAGAAAATACCTAGCACTACAGATTTTTCAACTAAAAATATAACATGAGGATACATTCAATGCTTTGTTGTGAATTGTTAAGTTTAGATAACTTCTCAGCCAATATCACTCCATCAAAAGCCTCGCTGCTCATCCTGATGTTCAATAGGTTTTGCTATATCCTGCAGTAATTTCTGTAAGTTCGATAAACAAAAAAAGATCGAAAATGAAGAATTAATTTTATGTAAAAAATTAACATGCGAAAAACAAGACAAGGCAGAAACAAAATCAGGTAAAGTCGTCATAAAAAATTAGTCCAAATAGGCAATGGATTTCCAATATGAAAGAAATAATTCCATGCATATTCATTGTGTTTCACATTTCAATGACGGAGCCAGCAATTTGTTTAAGTGGGGGCAAATTAAAAGAAAAAATTGAAATATTAAAAAATTAAAGATTAAAGTATTAAAAACTAACCATAAAATTAAAACCTGAGGCCCCAATTAATACTTCTATTTTGAATAGATGAAGAATTTAATCATTAGAGAAAAAAATATAATTTTGAAATTATAAAATAAAGTGGTTGTTTTATTGATAAACACTATATTCAATCATAAGAGAGAAAAGAAAAATAGAAGCTTAAAATGTATAGGAGGTTGAGGAAAAAGAATTAAAACATGGAAAAATTGGTGGCACAAAGACTTAACTACTTTCATAGAAGAAAGGGGGCATTTTGTTAAAAGAACAAAACTGACGGGAATTAATTGAATTTTCCAAGGGCAGTGGAGGCATGAGCCCCCACTCAGCCGTTAGTGGCTCCATCCCTGCACTCAGACATGAAAGAACACAAGGGAATATTATGTCTTCCAACTAGAAGCAATTGTTACAGCAATGAATTGTCCTCTAAGTCATTCAAAGGAAGTAATAGAGATTTTATTGAAAACTTGAATGAATAACTGAAACCTACCAACCCTATTTATGTAGGTAATCATAATTCTACCTAGAAAGTAAATAAGAAATCATAATACTACTAAAAACAATAATTGAAGTCCAATACTACTAAAACATTGAATTATAAATAAGAAATCAAGTAATATTACTACATCTACGTACTTCGGATTTCCACTTAGAGTGTAAATGCTATAATTTTGTTCACTATCAAGAAATCCTAAAACCAAACAACTGAAGATGGTCTTGTTTATATAATTTCAGAAGGTTTTTTCTATCTATTTCACCATTCGATTTCATCTGACATTACACCTTATTCAAAAAGAAGAACTTTCTTAATTTCATACTCACGGTTCGAAAGCCGACTCAAGCAGCCAACCACTTCACGGTGAAGAAGCGATCGACGGCCAGCTTGGACGATAGCCGGCGATCACGACTTTAACAACAACTTCATGGCTTCCAATGGCAGCACAAAGAAGACAACCAGCAAGAAAACTTTGCGATTCTACAGCCGGAGGGAAAATTCGGCGACGTGAAGCTTTACAATTCGAAAAATCTCTGTAAAATCGGTTGAGTTCAATGATTGCAGATTTAAGGGTTCCAACACCTTCTTTTATCTTGGAACAAACCACCTACTTTCGACACTTAAAACGACGCGTTTAGCCATATTTTCTCCTAATCCTACATTGCCGAAATTTCATTAAACCCAAAGGATTATATATTAAATAAAAACTACCATAAAAAACTTTCAACAATTCAACTCCACAACAATGTTTTAAAACCCAACCCGGGGTGGAACCCAGCAAAGCTTCGGGTCCCGGTTGACCGATCTAAACGGTTTGACCAGGTTTGACAAAAAAATTTAAAATTAAGCAAATATACCCCTAAAAATTCGTGAAGTCCTATGTTTGAAATATCAAACACACCCCAACTGCAAATCGACGGCTACTGATTAGAGGCGAGAACACTCAGATACAACCCCAATCATCCCTTCAGTCCATTTCCATCAAAATATACCCAAGATCTAGCCGAAATAGGTTCGATTTTGGCCAGATCTCACCGACGTTGACGTCGGATTCAGGCCAGATCCCATCGATTCTGGCAACACAACCCTTCCCACACCCTAGAATTACTCCCCTTTTCCTTCCGACCAAAACCCACCTCACCCCATCGCCGTTAGCCCTGTCAATCGCCGGAAAAATCTCATCGTTGCCGCTGCCAATTTTGTTCGATTTCCGGTCGATTTACTCACCAGAAATGAACTCTTTCACCACCATTACATTCACCGGACATTGATCTTCAAAAGCCCCAACATGCCGAAAGTTAATTGTTCGCCGATCATCACCAAAAATTCTAGGGTATTGGATGAATAGGAAAAAATTAAACTCGGCCCGTTGAAGCTTTTGGGTCCCGGTTGAACTGACCGGGCCGGGCCGGGCCGGGTTTTAAAACATTGCTCCACAATGCTTATCATTTCTACCATATTTACCCTTAAATTTTTAAAATAAATGGGCATATAACCTTAAAATAATAACAATGTTATGGGTGAAATTAATACACGTGTCCAAAAAGATATGGTCATGTGTCTTAGGTGAAGGACTCAACGTCGCTTATAAATAAGAGTTTGATCAACAAAGGGAGAAGTGGAGTAGAAATCAATAAAATGAGAAGAAAAATCTCATCGCCCAAGAACTCGTTGCCTAAGGACTCATTAACCGATGTTGGTTCTCCTCTTCAACTAAAACGGGAAAACAAGTGTACAATAGTTGGGGAGAACAACTTACACATACCCAAGGTTTACCGAAACGACAAGTTGGTACCCAAAAGATTTTGAAACGATAAATAGGTACCTTCCGTCATGTTTTGTTAGTGATTTTCATTTGATAATAGTGAAAAGACTAAAATGCCCTTGAAAGTTTAATATTTTAGTTTTTTATAAATTTAAAAATTTCTAAAAAACCCTTAGGTTTGCTAATTTGACTAAATACCTCAATATATAAAAATTTTATAAAATAACAAAAACACCCCTGCCACCCGCAGTGCCAAATTCCGGCCACCACCGTCGAGATCTGGCCAGAAAATTGTGTTACGACACAAACCCGTCGGATCTGTGTCGTAACGCGTCGATCTGGCCTTTTTCGGCCTCGACGGCCAGATCTGCCGAAAAATGCCAGATCGACGTGTTACGACACAGATCCGACGGGTATGTGTTGTAACACAATTTTTCGGCAAGATTTCGGCCTCGACGGCCAGATCTGGCCATAGATCTGGCCTTTTCCGGTCAAATTAGCCATGGATCTTGCCGGAAAATGCCAAATCTACGTGTTACGACACAGATCCGATGGGTCTGTGTCGTAACACAATTTTTCGGCCAGATCCTGGCGGTGGTGGCTGGAATCTAGCACTGCAGGTGGCGGGGGTGTTTTTGTTATTTTATAAAAATTTTATATATTGGGGTATTTAGTCAAATTAGCAAACCTAGGGGGTTTTTTAAAAATTTTTAAATTTATAAAAAACTAAAATATTAAACTTTCAAGGGCATTTTAGTCATTTCACTATTATCAAACGAAAATCACTAACAGAACATGACGGAAGGTACCTATTTGTCGTTTCAAAACCTTTTGGGTACCAACTTGTCGTTTCGAAAAACCTTGGGTATGCGTAAGTCGTTCGGCCACAATAGTTGTAAAGTATGATTTCACAATGACCGTACACCAATGAATCAACGCCACGCAGCTTTACCTCAAGGGTTTTCATGCCAGGGACCATTCAGCACCTCCACCTCTATAAATAGTATCTCAATTTGTGATCCATGTAACTTTTAATTTACTATTCACTTGTTATTTCTCTCTCTTCAATTAATTATTGAGACCTTCTCTTTAGACTTTCTGATACACTGGATTTTGACTTGAGCATCAGAGGATCTAAGCCAACAAACCACCTTGTTGACTCCCTTTGATCGTGACTTGTTTTTTAAAGGATGAAAAAGGTCACTCATCGGATTTACCTTAGCTCGAACTAACATTGAACTTGAGCAGACTTAGACCATTAATTAGGAACTTGAACTTAGACAAGGATTGAATCAAGAACATTTCACCACTAATTGATTGATTGAGCACTCAAAGTCATTGACCAAGCAAGATCCAGACCTGAAGACACATATTTAGATGCCCCAATGCCCAGGTCCAAATCACTAGTTGGCATTTGCCCAAAAATGACTGTCAACAGTTAGCGTCATTCGTGGGAAACGACAATCATAGCCAAGTGTTGTTCCTATCCGGGTGGAAGATGAGTTTGTATGACTTTGAACACGAATTTGAGATGGAAGATGTCAATGAAGAGCAAGAAGAAAAGCAACCACCACAACAAGTCCCTAAGGTTTGCCCTCGATGTAACAATCACCACAGCGGAAGAAAAGGCTTTGCAGCACATACACAAGAAGAACCACCCAAACAAACACAAAAGGCTCATATCACAACTCTTGAGACTAAATTCAAAACCTTAACAAATATGTTGAACCAATTCATTACCAAACAAGGGGGAGGCATCGCCCACACTAGTGAAACTACAAGAAACACAACCAATAATAAGCCTAAGCTTGATAACCAACAAAACTCTTAGGACCTCTCACACTATAACACCTCGAGAAGGAAGAAAGTCATGTCATCATTGCTCAAGTTCTCTTCTTGCCTTAAACCAAGTGACTTAAGGCATTCCCTTCGAGCAAGAAGAAACTAAACCATGAATGGAGAGGATAATGGAGGACATCGAAGCAAAGGAAAAGAGAACATGATGATAGGCTATTCGCAAGTGTACGAAATCACGCAAGTAGTAAAACTCGAGTAAAAGAGTGTCGAATCCCAAGAGAACTACTTACCAAGTACCAAACTAATCTATTTTATTAGTATTTGATAAAACGGAATTTTAAGAATGATTTAATAAAAATAAAACAAACTAAAAACTAAACAAGAGCATAATTTTATTAATACTCTTGTAAAAAGATCAATATGACTAAACCTAAGGCACGGATTTCACACCAATTTAATCCTATGCATTGATAATTATTGTTAACCTAATTAAGCTTATTCTAAAGGTCAAACTCCCTAATATTTCACTAATTTTCTCTCGAACAATTAGCGAATTAACGCTTAAGCAATAACCAAAAAATCTCTAAAGTTTTTAGAAGCTAAGAGATCATTAAGTTCTATGGAATTTACCAGAGCCTCACAGATCATTGTAACCTATCTCTAGCGTTCACTCAATCTATGGCTTTATTACCTTAGACTAATCAGGTTTCATCTCTCATTCTCAACACAACCCATGATATCATTCAGCTCTCGGATCCATAAGAATTGAAAGCATTACACACAATAACAAAACTCAGAATTAATGTTCAGTTAAAATTAACAACAATAAAGTCAATACATATTCATAAATTGGGCTACATCTTTGGCCAAAAGAAATTTAATTAATAATTGCGATAATAAAAACAACCATTGTATTAACAAACATAAGTTCAAGAAAGAAAAATAGAAAAACTTCTCTAATTGGTGAACGAAAATTGCAAGTATTCTGATCTCCAAAATAGTAGCCACTCTTTCTCCTTCTCTAATCTCTCTAAAAACTAATTAAAGACCCTTATTTATAGTGCTAGGGTTTGGAGGTTAATTAGGAAATAATTTAATGTCTTAAACCATTTAGATTTGGACTAGGAAAATACAATAACCCAGACAGACCCGCAATCCATCGCTACAGCGACAAAAATGGTCACTGCATCGATATTTCTTTATGTCTCATGAGTCTGGAATCTTCATAATTTAGCAAAGTCATTAACACAAACTTTGTATCTCTCTGAAGAAGCTTTCCAACGCCACAAGAATCATAGAATTCTGATTTCTACAGCTCAAGTTATGATAAAAACATCAAAGCATACTCATCTAGTCATCTTGAAGAATTTCCAAGTTTTAAGTCTCGTTTTCAACGCATCATAACTTTCTCGTTTCAACTCCAATTCTTGCACCGTTTGTTCCTACTCATCACAAATTCCATCGATATCATTCTTCTTCATTCAAATATCATTTTTAAACTAAAAATATTGAAAATACACTTGTGATCCCATAAAATGTATTTATGAAGTAATTAACTCAAATTTCACAAATTAAACACATTTTTCTACAAATAATCCAATTGAATCACTAACAAAACATGTATTTTCTAGCTCTTATCAGATGAACACAAGGACAATCTTCAAGAATGAGAGAGGGATGACCATCAAAGAGGTAGGGATAGAAATAATGGATAAAGGATAGGGAGAGAAATGACTATCGAAGAGGTAGGGAAAGAAATGATGTTGGAAGAGATTGAGAGAGAAATAGTATCGAAAAGGTAAGATGAGAAATTATTATCGAAGAAGTAGAAGTCTTAGACACCATAACTTTACCTTTAGATCAAACGTTACACAATAGGCCAAAGTGCGTGATCTTACCTTTTTGCAGAAGAAGTAGAGAATCATGACAATCAAAGGGATATAGGATGATGCAACAATAAATTTGTCATCTCAAAGAGATGTTAGAACAACATGGACAAGGAAAAGGGAGTGATC